AAAGCACCCTCCAAAATACCACCTCCAGTGCTACAACCTGCCTCCCTCCATGCAAAAATTTCATTTATCATTAAAGCTGAGGTGTTAATTTAGGCTGTGTTCCCAGGGGAGTCTGCAAAGGTTCTGTTCAGACTGTTGGGTGTCTTGCAAGGGAGATAGAGATGGAAAAGTTGCTGGAAGGAAATTTGAGAGCTCTTACGTGAAGGGAGCTCTCTGGAGAAGCCATGTTCAGCCTTACATTTGTCACTAGAATAAAACCTTTCCAGGATACAAGAACTGCAAAAGCAGGAGCTCTCGTAGGATGTGATGCTTGCTCCTCCCGAGGTCTCTGCCCAGGGTGGAAAGTTAAAGCTACCCAATCCCTTCTTCCTCCAGGACACTAATCCTCTAAGAGCCACCAACATCAACAGCCAGCTCCAATGTTCACTCAAAATCAAGGAGACACTCAGGTTGCAATGCTAGGACGTGAACACTGCTAGACTTCCACCAACCTTCATGAAACTTGAGCGAGACCAGACTTCACACCTGACGTAGCCTTCACAGGCAATGACTGGGCACGGTGGTCCCCATAATGTTCCTTTTCAGATAAATCAGAAATGTCCAAGATGTTCCTGATGGACCTCAAGGACTATAGCCTTCAGTTAATATCTCTAAGCAGAACCAAACTGGCTTGTTTGCTCTTCTGCTGACTCCAGCCCAATTCATTTGTATGCACACAGAATATACTTCCCCCTGTTGGCAGTGATATTTATTATTTTTCATCTGCGCCCATAAATTGGCAAGTAGGAGAAAGCAGATAAAATGGAAAGAGGAACTCTTGGGAGATCAGTTGGGCTCATTAAATGTTTGGCACTCTGTGGTTATCTGTTGGCAATGAAATGCCACTGCTGTATTTTAACATGGAACACAATGCCTTAATGTACAGGAGAATCTCCTCAGCCCACTTCTGGTACACTTGAGAGAGGAGAAATTCAATCATCTGTGACCTGGATTGTATTTTTAATGGCTGCCAAGCTAGATAAAATATTTAAATATTCACTTTTATATCAGCCCACATGAGGATTTGAGCATTTCAGGTTGTGTAATGCAGCATGGCCTACTTTTGGAAGAGTATACGGAAATAGGCACATATGTACAAAATACTGAGTGCGCAGCATATGGGTCAGCCAGCCAGCGCTCATCAGTATGGCACAACCAATTCCGACAGAGCTAACAGCCCAGACCAACCAAGGAGCTGGTGTCACTTGTGTTGGATTTCATAGGTCACCTGGGCAAAAGAAGAGATGAATGCACCTAAAATAAAGATGGTCATCCTCAAATGTGGCCGAGTCCCTCCAGCAAAGGCACCGAGGATGATGGCCTGCCAGGACAGCTGGCCTTGCAGGAATGGCTGTATCATGAGATCGGGGCTCTCAGTGCCACCATGTGCTTGCCTGCCTCATGGTGCTGCCGGGAGAGAGGTGGGAAGAGCAAGGTGTGCCATGATCAGACCAGAAATGGGTGTCTACAGCCACTGACTATACAGGTTACTTCTCCACCAGCTACACAAGAAATATGAGCAATAAGCTCCGATGTAGACATCTCGCTGGGAAGAAGCTCCCTGTGGATCAGCCCCATCCCTGGTATCAAGACAGCTTCAGCAGAGCTGAGGCAGTTCAGATCCCTGGAAGAGCTGGATCATGGTGTCTTCAAGCAATGGGCAATTCCAGAAGGTTATGGTCCTGCTGACTTGCTTTGGAGTTGAGCACGTGAAATGGGCTTGTAATATCAGGGGCTGGGACTTTCCTTAAGTGGAATACAAATGGTGAGGATGTGCTGGGATGTCCAAAGAGGAGAGGATGGTGTAAGGATGTAAAATCACGAGGAAACAAGGGTGAGCGTTGCTCCCTGCGCCCCTGAGGCTCCCAGCTGTGCATCTGCTCTGCAGATATGACCTGTGCACGGGGCAGGCAAGGCTTTAATGACGTGATTGTCGAGCGCTTTGCCATGCATCGGCATTGACCCTGATAGTAGCATGGGTTGACTGACTCCTGCCAATCCCAAGCATAGCAAAGTTGCTGTGAGGTGACAGGGAAGTGGGAGGCTACAGGGACAATCCCGACCCACCACATGCCAATGGAGTCCTACCAGAATTATTACAGTTTCATGTGACACACATAATTCAACTAGTGCATGAAAAGAAGGGACCCAGTCTTCTAGGGGCACTCGGCTCCTCTCCAGTTCCCACCAGGATCAGCTCAGCTTCCCAGTATTGGGGCAGTCACAGATGTGAGGGACCAGCCAGCCCCGTGTGTCCCAGAGCCCCTTCCCTGCCTTCACGTGCTGGTGGGGCTCCCCAGCTCTGCCCAAGCCCCACCTGGGTCCCTGCAGCCGACTCTGCAGCTCTTTGACCACCGTAACAGGTAACGGCAGCTCTGGCAGCCCTCTGCTATTCTCTCTCTCTCACAAAGCGCTGTTACTCTTTCTAAATTATCCACATAAACCCAATTTCTCTTTGCGTACAAACAGTATCACAATTGCAACTGTATTAATAACACTCCACAATAAATACTACCAGGTGACTCTTAAATCTTACTCTGAATTTTTACAAGACTTTCTTCTGAACTTGCTCCAGGTCAAACCCCAGCTGCCTTGCCTAGGAAAGCCCGTCGTGGGCATCGCAGGGGCTTTCTGCCTGGGCGGAGATGCCAGGCTTTGGCCGAAAGCTTTTGCAGCCGGTTCTCTGCATCTCAGAGGGTCAACATCAGAAGTGAAAGCTCCTGGGGAACACTGAGCATCAGGAATTTCCTGGTCACCTGTAGGACACCTTGTCTCCCTGCCTTCTTTGGTCAATCCTTGGGTTTTGCAGATGAGCTATTCCACGCGTCCTATTGCTCTGCTGCTTCTTGCTTGCCCTGCCTGCCCACAGCTGGAGCTTGGTAAAATGGGAATCATGGAGCCTCCCTGCCAGCCTCCCGGGAGGCTGACGTGGGAACCGGGATTGATCCGTACAGCTTATCACATGCTGCTGGGTCTTCCTCGCCCTGGCAGAGGCTGACCCTCAACAGGCAGAGCGGGATGAGCGCCTGAGCAGCTTAAATGGCATCAGCGCTGCCGGGATGGGGAATCCTGGGGTTAAATCCGAGGATTTTATTTGCAGTTCCTGCTCTGACAATCAGCCCTGCTGAAGTCAAGGGGAGCTTTCCCTAAGGGAAGGGGAGCCAAACCCAGGGATGTGGCCCATGGCAGGGCACCTTCCCCAACCGCCCTTGCCCTCTCCCACATCCACACTGCTCCTCCGTTCGAGCCCCCCGCTCAGCACCGCAGCTCGCAGCCCAGATGGGGAGATGCAGGAGGTGTCACTTCCAAGGGACGAGAGATCATTTTGTGTCAGTCAGGAGAAGGGAGGGCTCCTGGGGATGTTTCTCAGCAGCTGGGCAGGGGGTTCATTGTGTCTCGCCATGAAGGGTTTCTCACCAGGAAGAAAACGAGCAGATACTTGGGGCACCATTCAACATCAACATTTCTCAGGGCGAATTTAAGCATCAGCCTTTGAGCCTTTTGGGTCCCAGCCATATCCTCCCACCTCCTTTACAGGTCTGGTCATGCCTAGACAGTCAAAATACTATTTTTGTAGCCATCACGTACATGGCTACTGGGAGAGCTGGGGAGGTGGGCTCAGAGCCCAGCTTCTCCCCAGAAGAGATGCAATGTGGGGACTCAGTTTTCCCCCATTCAGGGACTGGTGGTGTACGGGAACACAAGAGAGGACCTCGGGACACTGTGTCGGGCAAGTCCATGGCTGGTCCTGGCCCGTTTTCTGTCGGTGGAGAACCTCTCCCAGCTCTCTGCAGGCTCTTACTCCTGACTGCGACATTTTCCGTATTCCCCACCCCTTTGCTCTGCCTTCCTGTGCCTCCTCCCTTCGTAGCTGCATGAAAGGCCTTTGATGAATCACGCTCTATTTTGACGAGCAAACTGGTATTTTCAGTGCCACGGCAGGGGCCCAGCTCGCCAGGCTCCCCCACCAGTGCCCGCACGTGGGGTAAGGGACGGGGCAGGATCAGGCCGGGGGGATCAGTGCCTGGGTCTGAGTTGATCTCAGTTATATGGGTGCGGTTTGTGGGGCTGCAAAGTGCAAGTCGAGAGTTTACCTCAAAGCAGCATTTTGTCTAATTAATTAATTTTTTCTTCAAATAACACTGAAATGGTGTAGTGCTAAGGCCAAGGAGAGTTGGGCTTGGGGAAGCTCCCTGGATACCTCTGTTCCCTTGCCGGCAGCCCCCTTCCCTCCGAGGACAGCACACATTGCACCTTTCAAAGCCCAGACAAGCGCTGTGTCTCCCTGCCAGCTGCACAAGCCTTGCCTTCACGCTTTTCTCCCAGAAAACCGGTCCTAAGGATGGAAACGGGCTCAGGTCACCAATGCCCTGGTCTTCTCCAACAGCACGATGGTGACCATCCCTATGCAACTGCTGCAAACCGCAGCGCATTGCTCGATGGGGAAGGAGGCTCCTGCCCACACGCAGCCTTTGGAGCTGCCCGATCCTACAAATGCAGGCAGCAGAGCGTCCCCAAACGCAGTGCACGGTCATCCCTGCGCGCTGGTGGTGACACCAGCTGTGCAAGCAGGCTGCTTCTCCAGGGGCTTCTTGTTAACATGTTTAACATCTAGCTGAAAAAGCACGACTGCCTCTGGGTTTCCCTTCTCTAGCAAAGCACACTCAGGGCCAGTCTCTGGTCTTGCTCCAGGTGTAAATCTGGAGTAATCCCATTAACTTGCTTTCGGAGCATTTTTGAAGTCATTAAATGTGAAGGTGCTGCTAATTTCTGGTCTCACTGCCTCTGAGGTGTATCCTACCAGTGCTGCTGCTGCCCGAAGAGTTTTCAACATAGTATAAAAGCAAAGCTCCTGAATGAGCAGGGCTGCCCGCGCTTGTTGGCATCGACGTTGGGGAAGGCGCCTATACACACCTGGTACGGAGCCGGGGAGCTCCGCGCCAGCCCAGCCCCGGGGCCCCTCAGTCCGACCACTCGTTATCGTCCAGCTCGGAGTCGTCGTCGGACTCACTGTACTCCACCGCGATCCGGCGGGACAGGATCGTCGCCACGTCATTGCCCACGGGCTCTTTTTTGGCCTCTTGTTCCCATTGCTCCTGGACTTTCCGGAGCTGGATTCCTGCAGTAGGGAAGGGGAGAAGGCTTTAGGGGCAATGTGCCCAGCACCCATAGGTTCGCCCAATGAGCAGCATCCCCCCAGTTAAAAGTATTGGCTGAAATGGGATGGCTGCAGCCCCCTTGCAGGAGGATGCACGCAATTATAAAGCTGTATGAGATAATAATGCGATGCATGCGATTATAAAGCTATATAATAGAATAGAGCTCCTCCTCCACTTCCACTCAACCTGAAGAGGCTGAACCTTCTCGAAGGTTAAATCTGCCATTCGACCTGAAGATTTGCAGGAAGGGGAAATGGGAGAGACCTTGGAGCACATTGTCTGCTACAGCCTGGGAGGAGGTCATGTGTGCAAGAGCTGCTGGTCGTCCCTGCGGGGCTCCGTCCCGCCTCCAGCGATGGGTTTCCCCCACCTCCCTCCAACCCCGTGTTGCATTTCTTTCCCTCACCAGGTCCCACCTGGGTGCCACCATTTTCGTGCAGCACGTGGCCACCCAGGGCTTGTCTTGCACTCAACAAAGCCAACGCCACCCAACTCTACACCAAGAGGTATTGTACCACTGTGGTGGCAGCACTGGGGACCCGTCCCTTGCCTTCCCACTGCCGCCACCCCACTGCTCACCCCTGCGGATGGCTGCCAGCAGGTCGCTCCGGGCGTCGCTCATGGGCATCAATGGGATCTGCGGCTTCCGAGGCTCCACAGTGGGGGCTGGCGGTGATGCCGAGTGCGCCGGCGAGGCGGCGACAGCGGGGGGCCCCGGCGGTGGCGGTGGGGGTGCCACCGGGGGTCCCATGGGGCCGGCCTGCGGCGGGGAAGCAGAGTAGGG